GAAAGACTGAGGACAGTTAAGAGCAGGAGGAACATGGAACAGTTTGGGGGAAAGCTGGAACCAACGAGAGCAGAGGGGTCTATGAGGATTCCAGGCCGGCCACTGTTTTCTCATGGGTGGGGATCAGCCACTCCCAATCACTTGCCCTGACACTGGGAGCACCGCGCAAGCACCTCCAAATCTCTCCAGTCTGAGAGGGGTAGCCTCTGGAGAAGAGGCAACAGAGTCTCAGGACTGGGAGGGAACCTGGAGAGCCGCTGTCTCAAACCAGTCATTTTCGTAGACGAAGAAAGACACGGCCAGATTCATAAAGTGGCTACAAAATTCAGTGTGTCCAAGCCAGACAGAGCCCGGTCCATAGACGCAACATGATCCCCTCCCTCAGGCTTGATCTTAGGGGAGTCAGGGGAGACAGATTCATCCTGCCGTTTGGGGGATGCTTCCAAAAGCCGAAGACCTGGTCCTTTGGGCCCTTTTGCACTCCCATGGAGAGACTGACCGCAAGGATCAGGGTTCATGACCTACCTCCACAGATGTGATAAAGAAATGTGGCTCAGAAAATGAAAAAGAAATCGGCTAGAAGATTGTCACTGTCCAGGTCAGACAGGGTGCCACCCAGGGAGGACCCCTGAAGACCTTTTGGTCTCTGGAAGTATATGCGGCTTTGAGCTCTTATTAACTTACCCAGGACAGAGAGTCAGATCACCCTAAACTCCCAGGAGAGGCCCGTTCAAGATGTGTTTAAATCCCGACAAGAAGGTATTAGCCAGCACTGGCAGGATATATGAAAAACAAAAGGAAATGTGGTTTATAATGTATTTGTGCAACAAATATTGTGAAGAGGCATTAAACAGGAAATTCTCCACTCATGATGACTGCCTGTCTCATAAAACAGCCCCTTCCTCTCTCTCTCTTTATTCAGGCTAACGGCACCTCAGGAACACTAGGAGACAGAGAGAGGGCGTCAGGCCACCAGGAGCAATGGGGGAGAGTAAGGAGGGCAGGGCACTACAAATACAAGACCCCAAAATTGGGGCTCTGGGCTGCATCTCAGCCCCCATCAGCTTCCCGTAGGGCCTCCAGCAAGTGAGCCTAGGCAGACCCATCTAGAAAGGATCCAGCCTGACAGATGACCTCCAGGGCAATTTCTGTGTTATTAAAAAGCCAATGAGATGTTTCATAAATATTTTTCCATGTCTCCATCTGTGTTTGCTTCTTCCCAGTTAGAAGACAAACATCTTCCCAACTAGAAGAACTTCGTGTATTCATTCCACACGTCTTTCTTAAGTATCCCACACAGGCCTTTGCCCAAATGGAGGAAATAATAAATATTACAGACATCGAACTAACAGCCAAGGGAAAGGTCACTGGAAAGTAGTGACGAGCTAGGGTCTGCGTGGTCTGTAATGAACTCGGGCCGCTCAGGGCCCCCTCCCCCCGACACTGCTGCATCTGGACCCCTCCTGCCTCACTCTCTTTGTCCCAGACCTCAGAAAACTCTGGGGGGCACGTCTGCTGCCTGGTCGGCTTGGAAGCAGTCCTGCGGAGACTTGGCCCTTCCGAAGCTTCTTGGCCAGCGAGCAGCAGAATCTGGAGCCAGCCCTCATTCTCTGCGGGCTCCGGCCTCCGCGTAGCTCTCGCCCGCCAGAGCCTGGTGGTTCAAAGGACACGGGACTGGGCACCAAAGGCCCGGGAGGAGGGGGCTTGGAGACTGATGAACTCGTCCTCCCGTGCTACGGTCCAGGAGAAGAAACGCTGGAGAGGATGCCACCTGCTGGTGAGGGACCCCGGCTTGCGCGGTGGGAGCATCAGGAGCCCTGGATGTAAAGAGAACCAGAATTCGGGCAGTTTTCCAAGTGCTTGGTTTTCTGCTGTCTCTTTCGGGCTGTCACCTCCACGGCGCCGTGCCCCGAGCCCCGGTGCCTCGCGTCCCGCATTCGGGACGCGCAGGCTCTTACTGGGGGGGCGGTCTTCCTCCTCCCCGCCGCTCCTTTCCCCTCCCCTCCCTTCTCCTCGCCTCCCCTCCCCTCGCCTCGCCTCGCCTCGCCTCGCCGCGCGCTCCGAGGTCTAAGACTCTCCACTCTTCTCCATCAGGTGGAGCCGTCCGCGCCTCCCGCCCCCCGCCTCGCCCGCGAACTGCGCGCAGGCACCTTGCAGCGCCAGGAGGTTAACCGAGCCCCCGGAGGAGGTGAGGCCAAGGAGCGGCCGGGCGGAGATGGCCGGGCCGCCGTCGGGGCTGGCGCCAGAGCCCGGCCGGCTGTGGGTCCTGCAGGTACCGCTGTCGTTCTCGCCGCCCCACGTGGTGGCTGCCGAAGATTGCCGTGGGTTTTCCGGCACTCAGGCTTGAAACGCCTAACCGTCCTTTTAGAGGCAGGCAGCTCACCACTTAATCCAAGCTTTTTTCCCTTTCTGCCGGAGACCGGAGGCTGCGGGGAGGGGGCGGAAGGGGGTTGCGGGGGGGGGGGGGGGGAGCGGAAGGGGGAGGGGGGAAGAAGGGAATAGGCCCAGCTGGCTGGGGGGGATCAGAGCCAGTCTGAGGGTCGTGAGGCCAGTCTCAGGGACCAGTGGGAGAGCGAAACAAGGTCCTTCAACCTCGGATTCCCACCAACCCTCTCCGGTCCAAGACCGAGTGTGTGTGTATGTGTGTGTGTGTGGTGAGCACACGCCTGTACGTGGGCCTGATTTGCGTGTATTGCACAGTTCACTAGCCTCACGACCCTGGTTTTGTAATATTTCCCTGGGGGCTGAATTAAGCAAATCTGGGCCCCAGGCCACTTAGGAATTAGCAGTCAAAATCAAACAGCAGCTTAAAGGATAAATGTTAGTTAAAACATCCAGTGTTGCTTTGTGAGGTAGGGTGTACATTCTCACATTATTAGTCTTATTCACTGCAAGGCTTGCCTTAGGAATGGTGCCCAGACCTTAAATTTCTCCCCTCACCCAGTAGGCTTAATGGAGAGCTCCTACTAAAGTTAAAGCACTCTACATGCCATGTTCTCACTCTTAACATGTTGTCTGACATAGGTTGTTTAGAATCATCATTCATCTTGCTTGTGTGTTTCTGATTTGCCTCTTCTGCTTCACTGTCTTCTCTGTCATCGACTCATCGGGGCTGAGGCTGTGCTGACACTTTGCTTCTGTACCTTGTTTGCTAATTTAGCTGATGGTGTGTCTCTTTTGGGTCCTCTTGGTTTCTGTTGCTCAGCATTTCTTTTCTCCCCCAAAGCTTGCTTACAAATTTCCCTTTGATCTGTTTAACAGCCTCTAAAGGATGCAGTTAAATAAACTATTAAGTTAAGAATAGAAAAGTCAACAAAGCAGACACCTACTAATTTGTCGATCTTTGATGTCAACTACCAGATACAAGTAAGCCCCTACCAGCACACACTTTTCTCATGGGGCCCTACTTCTCTTTTCTTGTTCATCAATACCAAGGGATACATTTTTAAAGTTAACATCCACATGGAAACTTGGAGATGGAATGTGCCTTGAAGTCAGTAAAATCCCCCAAGTACGTAATACTGATGGAAGGAAGGCTAAGAGTTTCCCAAAAACCTCCCCAAGGTCCGGTGACTGAAAAAAGCAATGAATGATTTTGTACTGAAAGGCACTCATCAAGAGAGCATCTTCCAGCTTTCTCCCCCTACTCTTTAGCCCCCCCCTTCTGTATAATGCTGCATATTATACTTAGTTGTAACTATCCTTATAGTTTGTATCTCACGTGTATACTCTGCTTCCACAATAAACTGTGAGCTCCAGAAGGCATGGTCTGTGCCTGGGATTTTAGCTCCCCCAGTGCCTGCTTATCCCAGGTATATCTAAATGTCCACCAAGGAAACAGACCTAGAGAAATTGTTTGTTATCCTGGAGGAAAACAGAGTTTGATTCGAGTGTGGGCTTCACCACAGGTAAAAGACCTGAAGGTTCTTCCCAGGCAGTTGCCTATGACCTTGGCCTCTCCTTCGCAATAGGATTCACAGCACCTCTTGGAGAAAAAGACACCCTAAGAGTGATGGAGTGCTTATTAGAGGAGAGGCTGCAAATGCAAAGACAGGCTACTCCCCTCTCCTTGTTGAAAAATGCACAAACCAGGATGGTAATAATAACAAATGGGCATGTGTCACAGACCTGCTTGATTTCCCTCTAGTTCCTTCATTTTGTTTTGGAGGACTAGTGCAAAGCAAACTAAGGTCTGGACGTTCGGGTTTTTATGACCTACCTCCCCTTTCTAGGAAAGTCTCCAAAAAAATGTAAAACGTGCTTATCTCTTCCCCAACTCCGAGACTCCAGCTGCACACATTGGCCAAGTCCTTCCCAGGGAAAGATGCACCCCCCCCACCCCCACCCCTCGCGGCTTCGCTGTTTCCCTTTCAGCCAGTTCCCAATCCCCCGTGCAAAGGCAGGGCCCGCATATTTTAATGCGTGTGCCTGCATATAGTCCCCCTCAACTTCATTCCCGTTGAACAACATTATGTGGGGTGGACAAAAAGTCACAGTCGGCTCCCTGTTCAAGATGCCTTTTGGCCAATAATGGTGGCAAAAGCTGCATTTCCCCCTGTTTAGGGGGGGAAAGGAGAAGGGAAGAGAGAGCAGAGCCTCCCAGTCAGCCCTCTGCTTTGCATACATCTCCTTTTTCCAAGTGTTTCCTCTTTAATTATGACCTGTTCCTCCTCCCTCGCCCCCCCGCCCCAGCTTCAGTGAAAGGAGCCCTTCTGTCACTCGTCACTGGCTCCCGCGCCCGCCCGCTCGCGAGCTCGCTGTGGGAGGAGCCCGCTGCCGGAGGAAGCCAAAGCCGTGCGCCGGGGCTGCCGAGAGCCACAGAATGGATCCGCTCCGAGCGGGGACGTCGCTGACGAGCCCGGCTTCCCGCGGGGGCTAGGAGCCCGGCCACTGGCCCCGGCAGGCTGCGGAGACCCGGAGGCCCCGAGGAGAGCGGCGCCGCGCCGAGGGACCGACGCACGGACAGCCCGATGGTTGGCGCGAACCCGGGAGGACCGCGGCGGAGGCTGAGCACGGCGAGCCGCCCGGGAGGAGAAACTAACTGCCAACCCAAGTTGCCCCGCCGGCTCTCCCTCACTGCGCTGAGGAATGAAACCTTTCCAGCTCGATCTGCTCTTCGTGTGCTTCTTCCTTTTCAGTCAAGGTAGGAGCCCCCGCGCGGGCGGCCGGAGTTGCAAAGAAAGTCGGCTGGGTTGGCGGGGCGCGGGGAGGCTAAGGGCAGGAGCGTGGGCCGGCTTCGGAAAGTCGAGCCGATCGATGCGTCCGAGATGCGCTGGCGTGGCTTCTTTGCCTTTGCCAGTGCAACAAGATGGTACTGTTTCTTTTCCTTTGGAAGGAAGGGGTGTAGGAGGGGTGACTTTCTCCTCTCACTTGTCAACATCCAGCTCAAACTCTCCAATGCAAATGAGTTCTTTATGCTCCTGGGATGTTAATGAGGCAGTATCTGTGTGGCTCTGCCGCGCTGAACTTCTGGGCACCTCTCTCCTTCAGACTCAGGTTTGGGAGAAGGAGAGGGTCGGGAAGGAGAGCTTTGTTGAGGTGGATATTTCAGCTCCAATAAGGTCTGGCTTGCAGGAGTGGATTCAGAAGCCAGTGTGTGCCGGTTTTGCTCGGTTGCCGAAGGGGCCGCAATTACCCATTGCACCGTGGGGGTAATTTGCGGTGGTGGGGAAAAAGCTTGTCAAGAGTTTCATTGAATGGAATCGGGTTCTCGGAATACGGCTGAATTCTGAAACCCACACAGCCCCGGATTCAGGGTCTAAAGTGAAAGGTCGCCCCTGGTGCTGATTGTTTACTTTGTGCAGCCTAGCAGGGGCAGAGAGGCTGGTGGACTTACCCCCGCCCCAAAGAACTTTGCTACCTCTGGTCTGGCTCCCTGCCAAAGAGAGGGGTGGGTGCTGGCATGGTGGAGGGAGGGGAGGGCGATCTGGGGAGGGACGGTGAGTGCCTACTTAGCCAAAGGCATCAAAAGTCACCTGTGGAATTGAGTTCAAAGGGGGAGAAGTAAAGCAGCCCTCTGCCATCTGAGGCAGCATTTGTGCCAGCCAGCACGGCTCCGGGAGGGACAGGACTCTCAGAAAAATCCACAACAGAGCTTGTCCATCTGTTGATTAAATGAAGGGTAAAAGTTTTCAAGAAAGCAGAGCACCGCCATGGGTGGCTGGCTTTGCAAGCAAACAGCATGTCTCTTTTTCTTTCCCTGTCAAGGAGAAGCCAAATGTAAGCAAAAACCCACGCCTCCTTCCTCTGCTCTTTCATTGGTACTTACGGTCACTGCAGATTTCCCCCTTACCAAACTTTGCTCATGGCCATCCTGATTAAACCCGGGGGGGCCTTTCCCCCATAACAGTGTGTATGCTCCCATTTCAATGTGTACACACACACATGCACACACTCATGTATTCACATGGTAGTGTGCATCTCACCAGGGCTCCCTACAGCAGCAGGAAGATAAATTGCCTTCCCTAGAGTTTTCAGGCTGAATGAATAAGAACTATCTCAGAACACTGGTACAGAAACAGTTTGGGTTATATTACCATTTTGTGAGATTACCCTCCTTCTTGGATGCCTGTGTGCTTGCTTATGGACACATACACACACACACACACACACAAACTCACTCACACTCACACTCCCATTCTTCTTTGCCTCTTCCCAATTCACTCAGGAAGTTGCCTGTAGAATCCCTACAAGGAGGAGCCCACCATCCCCCCCTCCACAAACGTTCATGGGACCCGCGCACATTTTAATCCTCCTGTGTGTTGTTGGAAAGCTGGAGCTGTGATTCTCCTCTAGATTGGCATAAGAAGCCTTTGGTGTCTGAGTGCCTCTTTGGCTGTCTGAATCATCACAGTATGCATCTTCTGCTTTGCTTATCCCTTTCTCAGTACCGGAGCTGTTTCTTCGCTGTCTCGTATGAATCTTTAAATATTTACCTGTGGAGGTTAAACGCTCCGTTTCATCCACCCTTAGCCCTGAGAGCACTAGGAAGAAACCACAGCATCCTGCAGTGCCTACTTCCTTGTGATTCCTGAGTGTTCCGAGCTTAGCCAGCACTGCCCACCCTACCCAACGGTAGATGTCAGGGCCCACGGGGCTCCAATATAGGTCTAAAGAAAGATGATGAGACAAAGTGGATGTAGCCAGTCAAAATACCCTAAATCACTGGACACTGTAGGTTTCGTGAATAGACAGCATCTGATGACAGGAATTAAGGGCCAAGTGGGATGCTTTTTATGGACTTTTGTGATATGCCACTTTTTGACTTGATCTGTAGACATGTGTTTTAATGTGGATGTTGTCCTGAGTATTGTGAATTCCCCAGAGGATTCTATTTGACCCTACACCTATATGATCAGTTTCTATACTGTGCCCACCTCTACCTAGCGCCGTATATTTCTCAAGTTATTAGTTAGAGTGCATCCACTTCCGAGAGGTCGTGAGAGGACTAGCCCTCAGGCCCGAGGCGACACCCGCAGACATCCCCCTGACTGAAGTTGCCTGGCATGCCCCACCGAGTCACCTATTTGACCCCCCCCCGCCCCGACCTCGTGCACACGCTTCCTCCTGGGATGCTTCCCAAGGAAATGTGCAGGGACTCAGGGATGCCTCTCCTCTCAGAGAAAACAAATGTCCAGGGTTCTTTTTAGGCCTTTATCTGGCGCTCCAGTGACACCTCCATCTGCTGCCCAGAACCTCTCCCAGTGGGAGCCTATGTGTCATTTTAGAGTTTCTGGAAACACAATTTTCATGCTTCCTGTTCCCGTTGTCTTAGTCCCCCTATGGAAGGAGAGCTCCAAAGAGCGCTCTGAAGACTTTTGTGGCAAAAACATTTAAGTCAAAACTCTTAAAAGTCCCTTTCAGTTGTCTTTTCTCTCCCAATCTGTCTGATATTCATTCACTTTTACTTGTTCTCGTAACCCTTTAGAGAATGAATTCCAAGTATAATCAATGTCAGCAATACGCTGTATCTCCTCTCCTTTGAAAGTTTGGGCTTTTCGTGGAGCTGGAGATTAAATATTTATTTATCTTTCCTAAGGTGGCAGTAGAAAGACCAAATGGCATGCCTCCATTTCCGCCCCTGCCAAAGTCCCCGGGCCTGGCTCCCCACAAAGAAATGGCGAGCTGCCAGTGTGTGCTGCTTGTGGGTTTCTCTCTTGCTGGGGATGCCTCTTCCATCAGCTGTCAGGACCGCTTGTCCGTGCTTTGTGCAGAGAGGGATAATGTCACAGCACAATTTGCCTCCTGCGAAGAAGAGGCATGTTCTGCCCCTGGGTGAAAAGGAATCGATTCTCTTGTCACCCATAAACTTAGAACTGGCGATATTTTTTCCCCTTTATCATTTCCGTTTGCCCACATCTATTTTCCTCTGTGCCCTCCTTCATCTTCAAGAGCCGTGCCAACCAGCCTGCACCATCCCCCCCGCCCCCCGTCTGAAGTAACTAGGAAGGACCAGTGTGCCAGCAGGATGGAAGATCCCTGCTCCCCAGCTGAGACAGTCTGGGGAATGCGCAGTGGTACAAGTTGGTGCCTTGAACTCAGACGCTCTTCGGAAGGGTGTTCTCTTCCCTGCTCACTGACATTTTCCCCTAGCACTCCCGTCTGGCCGCATGACCTCGCAGGGCCCGAAAGCTCTAACCCTGGCCAACTCAGATCTCTCGTTGGACTTTCCCGCGTGCCAGGCTGCTCTGAACGTATTGGGGGGACAATGAGAACTTACTTGTCAATGACAGTCCCTGAGTTGAGGGTTCATCCGGGACATCACCTCTCCCTTGGGAAGAATCTAAGCGACTTGCTCTCCTGTCCTGCTGGCAGGAGTCTCCCAAAGGGCTGTCCGATGGCTACTGGGGGACAGAGGTTAGTGGCGACATGACTTTCCAAGGGGAGAGAAGAGCCGGAAGCAGACACGGGGCTTGTCTTGTGAGTGGAGAGACCCAGCTAGGATGAGGGAAGCCACGAGGAAGCTTGGAGAGGAAGGAGCAACTTCTAGACGCCTTAACTTGCGAGAAGGTCCCTGGGGAAGGGGGAGGGGCACCAGAAGATGCCAGGAACACATCAGAGGCAGCCAGAAGAATGGAGGGGGATCCTAAGGGGGACAGACTGAGAAGGCATTAGAACAAGAAATTGGGAGTGAACAGCAACTTAGCAAACAATGTAACCTTGCCCAGAACTGTCACGTAACAAAAGATGAGGCAAGTATTAAGTGTGCCGCTACCCCCACTGGCACCCCAAGTGGTGTGACGTCTTGTCTAGAGGAGGAAGGATGCTTTCTTTTGTCCTAGAAGGTCAGTGCACCACTGCCAAGGGTGTGGGACCACTTCTTTAACAAATCCTCTGGGTGAGGGGAACTGGGACACGTCTGTTGGGCATGGGGGTGGTCTCCGTGTCTGCTGCCCAGCAGGGACCTCTCTGTTGCCAGCCAGACCTATTGAGGAGGGAAGGGAAACTCCCCAGGGGGAGAGGGGTGCGGGGTGGGGTCAACGCCTGCACACTGCACTTACAGGATACTGCGGGGGGCCTCCCTCTTGGGTTACAAAGGAGGATCTCCCTTGGAACACTGCAGCAGGGAGCTAGGCATGGTACCAAGGAGCAGCTCTCCCTGGTGAGCCTGTGTTGGTAGGAGCCAGGGCCAGCAGGAGACGGGGTGGAGCAGGGGATTAGGCCTGAAGATGCAATTTTTTCTTTTTTGTTCAGCCCAGTGGGGGTGACTTAGGCGGCATTATATTGCAGACCCAAAAAAGCACATGAATAATCCAGAGTGAATTCAAGAGATTTCAATAGCAAAATAATAACAATACTAATGATACCTTTGATTTGCAGAGTACTTTTCTTCCAAGGAGATAAAAAGATAAACTGTTTTGGAAACATGAACAAGGAAAAGAAAATTGCCTGTGAAGGAAGAGTGGGAAGGAGGCCCAACAGCATTCATTTTAGGGTCTCCTGTAAATCTGGGGTGGCGGGAGCGGGGGGTGGGGGGAGAGTCACATGGGCAAGAGGCATCCTTCTTCAGCTACAGTCCTTATCCTTCTAAAATGGTGAAATAAATAACTTTTAGGTGAAAAACCAGGCAGTTTTAATAGGGGTCAACCAGAAAGAGTGAGGCCCCGTACCCCGCTTGTGCCTGGGAATGGGGACACTCTGATT